AAAAAAAAAAAAAAAAATGGTTAGGGTGGTTCTGGGGGTGAAGATGATGCCACATATCGGGTATTTGGTGTAAGTGGGAATTTCGGTGCAATGGACGGGATTTAGATCTTGGGATTTTAAATTGTTGCAAATTCTGAGTTCGGGAAGGCGAATTAAGAATTTTTTCAGTGTTAATTGTATAAGTGATATTCTATGTTCTCTTTTAGGTAGATTGTTTTGAATTGGGATTGAATTGAAATCGTTAATGTTAGTGAACATGATTTTGAGTTTACAGAAAGTGTATTTGCTTGGAAAGTGTTGTTGTACTTATCTTTTAGAGCATTGATGAGCTTGGCATTGTTTACATTGCTGTGAATATAAATGGGGAAGGGGGAGGCAGAATGACTGGATCTTTTTGGATATTATGATGGATGGAATTGCTTAAGAGTTTGCGGTGGAGCATGTGTTGTTCGTTGGAGTTGCCGTGATTTGTTTTTCATTTTCTAACTCATTGATCAGACAGTTAAGCGAAGACCTGGTAAAAATGGCTGGATTGATGTGATCCATACTTTGCTGCATGTTTGCAACGGGAAGTGAACCTGATAAGGATGTGGCCCTTTTTCTTGAGATGATGACCTTAAGTGGCTTTTCTCTTAGCCACCATCCATGTGGATGCTTTGCCTGCTGGTGCGCAGTCTAGGTTTGCTGTTGCGGCTTTGTTGTTTGTGGCGGTGTCTGATAATATGTTTTCTTCTTCGAGCGTGGGGATTTGATTCTCGCTTGGAGTCTGTTTGATTTTTTATTACGCACACACTTGTTCACTGAGAAGTGATACGAAGACTTACCCAACTTCCTTGCTCGGAGATTGATTATGAACTCTGCAACACGTTGGAGTTGATCCTTATATAGGCCAACTCTCTTCGTGTCCGCCCCGATCACGTGATCGTAGGTATTTTATGATAATTGACAAGGTCAGTCCCATAAAGTAATTTTAAATTTGGCAATTACTTTATGGGTTTAACAGTACTGCGTCCGGGTATTTCCCGTATTACATTTAAATTGTTAATACTAAATTTAAATTGTCCCGTATTACATTTAAATTTGGTCCTGGCTGTAGGATCAAGGGCAGAGACACGCACTCTCTACAAATTCTTATTTTTTATACTGATATGTTTGTAAATAAATATTGGTTTTTAGTCGCGTGGTGAACGTTATATGGCGTAAACATGTTTACATCAAACTGCGTTATAGTGCTGTGTTTCGTTGTCATGAAGTTATTCATAGCTACGAATATTAACTATGTTATTTTAATCTCTTCTTATTCTGCAGTGACATTCAGATCACAGTTTTTCAATTAACAAAATACGATCAATGTTTGATCATCAACCATTTCGAGATGTATGATTCGGATATTGCACCGAATGTCCCGAGTAAAAAGTCAAATAACGAGTCCATTCCGACTAACTCACGGATGATAGCATTTGATATGTGATCGTACCATTAATAAACATTATATTAAAATCAACTTCCAAAATTATATCTACAGAGAAGAGCATGATTGAACATATAATGATAAAAAATTGTGAATACTTTAAACTATTATGACTTCGTAAAAGAAAATCATACAACAATCTACTCGGTCTCGTTTTAAAATTTTTTATGATATAATCCGCTATGGTCTTGAAAATTGAAATTTTTTCTTAGTGACACGTTAAACCTTACTGTACAGCTTCGTTTTTTACCATTTTATTGAACTGTAAATTTTAGGATTAGATGACGAATTTCTTGAATTTTTGTCGTTTAAAATTCAATAAAATGATGAAAAAAGATCGGTATAGCAAGTTTTAAGGAATCGTTGTAGAAAGGAAAGTTCAATGTTCAAGATCACTATAGATTTAGTTGTAAATAAAATTTTTCAACTTCACTATAGATTTAGTTGTAAATAAAATTGTTCTTACATACGTGTGAATTTTTACAACTTTAAAAAAAAAAAAAAAACACTTTTCCACTTGCTACATGATATAAAAATGTATTGGGGAAAAAACGAATTCAGGATGATCAAAACAGAAACTTTAATGCTTTAAAATGAGACCAAATAAACTGTTACGTGATCTCTTTTACGAAGTTGTAACAGTTTAAAGCATTGGTAATTTTTTATTTAAATTAATTACAGTGCAAAATTGATTTCAGAAACAGTTTATATCTCAGCCAGAATAATGGCGGTAACACGATGGTAAAATTTTTTAAGGGAAATAAAAACATTCTGCACACTACACTACATATTTTACTTTTTCTATATCCTACATGCAAATACTCAATAAAATATTATTTATGTTAAAATTGCACGTGTGTGTTCAGTTTTGCTCATCACTGTAATTCTTAAGTATTTTAATAGCCATAGCTCTATATGGGGATCGTACAAACTCGATTCTAAAGAAGAAATAATTGGATTACTTGGCTTAAAAATTCGGATATTACATAAAAATCAGATAACTCATATCAACAATTCATATAATGAAATCGATCTTTCTTTGTGTAATATCAATATTGCACAAAGTTATGAAATATTTTTTAAGGCTTCACTTAACATCATTTTCATGGAAGTGATCGTTTTTCAATAATTATATCCAAAACCTATAATGAAATGATATGTTGTTGTACATAGATTTTTAATTAAACAAATTGGGGCAAATATCAAAACTATTTTAAAAATAATTTACATTTTTTTAAACCCTAATTCTTCCACTAATCAACAAACTATCGACGATAAGGTCGGAGTTTTATGAATCTAATTTTTGATGCAGCTAAAGAATCAATTCCAATAATGACAAGCAGAATATATAAAAAATTTGTATCTTAGTAGAACGCTAAGTCTTCAATACTTATAAAAAGCTTTATAATTTTATATTATATAAGAAAACCAGAACTAGTGCTAGAACATATAAGAAAAGTAAAAAAACTTCGTGGACAGCTTCATTTCTTTCATGAATCATTCTATATCCAGTCACATTATTTGAAACAAAATAAAAATGTTAAAAATATCCTATATGTCACAAGAAAATTGAAATCTTAATTAATTATAATGATGTTACAAAGGAAAGTTAGCATACCTAACTTCCAAATTTGTCAAAAAACCAAGTGATCCTAACCATAAAAATAATTCAAACATATTCTCCACTAAACTCATATCTAATTTCAATGAATAGAATTTTGACTGTGTTTTTAACAAATAATTCGAAACCAATGAGTTATACAAAGTTCACTAGAAATTCTAGTCCACATAATATGCATTATTTATCTAGTTACATTATTTAACGATATATATCCAGAACAATTCCGACTGGAACAAGCCTATAGTAACTCTAATTTCCAAGTCCGAATAAAGATAGGTTCCCTATAAACTACTAATTGTTCTCACTTCTACTATATACAAAGTAATGGAGAAAGAATTAAAAGAATTAAGATTAATAAGAAACATGGTTCTTTTTTTTAAATCAATAAAATCATCAAAGTGGATTTAGAAAGTTCAAATCGATTCTTGGCCATTTAATTAATCTAGAATCAAATATTGAAATATTATAAACACGTAATAGTCTATATGCTTTGATCTAGAAAAAGCTTATGACCTGATTTCGAAATCATTGAAGAAAAATGAAATCCACGTTAATATCGTTATCTAAGACAAGACGGACTTATTTTTATAATAAATTTTTTTAAGCACAGATTTATTACGGAAGCCAAGATTATCAATTTGAAATTCAAAATTAGTGTTTAAAATTTCAAATTAGTGTTACTCTCTTTTTACTAGTTATAAATGAAATTTCGAAAGTAATTTAATTAAACCGTCAAAAATTTTCTTATTCACTTTTATTGAATAAAATATTATCTTGATGTGCAAAGGAAGAAATATACTACACAATTCAATTAGACGCAAAAAGAATATCAAAGTCTAAATCCGAATATAGTTGTATTAAAAAAAATCATAGTAATAATACGATCAAAATACTAATTGGTAGTGAACAATTAAGGAAATCAAATATTATTAAAATACTAAGACTTTTTTGATGGTCATCTCTTAAAAAAGCGTTTGTAGAAAAAGAATGAATATCATAAAATCTATTGCCTTGCGTACTAACTGGGTGCAAAAATATACATGCTTCTAATATCATATAAGACATATATTAAGATCATATTGGATGCCAATTGGAAGTATTGTTTATAATTCTGTTTCCTATAGCAACCTTAATGTTCTGAATTCTGTCCACATAGGATTAAGACTCGTAATTAAGACCTTCAAATCAAGCTCAGTATTAAGTATTTTTGGCAAAACTATGAAACTGCCATTAAACTTCAAATGTACTAACCTTAACATTTCTTATGCAGTAAAAATTAAAACTGCCAAATAATCTTGCTCATGATAATATTTGGTTAACTGGAATCGATTTACTGTAAAACTCTTTTAATTATATAAATATATAAATAACCTAATATCTAAATATCCAATTGTCATAAATTCTCAACTTCCAATTGAATTGGAATTGCTATGGACGACCATCTTTCGTTATTATATATTGAATTGTTCAAAAAGTAACTGTGTTTTTTTCTAACAGATAAATATATATGTATATTTTAAAATGTAACTAACTTCATCTTAAACCGCAATTATGTAATCCGATATCTAATTGTTCAAGCTTGTTTTAGGGGAAAAAATTTCGTTAACAATTGTTTGTTTGTTGTCGATTTCAAAATTCGAAAAAAAAACATTTTCGTCATATTTTGCTGTATTACTTCCGAAAAGGAAAAGAAAATGCTGTGCAAATTCATAAAAAATTATCTATATGTGGAAAAGCCTTCAAACGGCAATGTCAGAATTGG